ATATATATATTCAGTATATATATATTAAACAATTGTTGAAGAATTGTTGAATATTTATAAACAATAATTATTTGTACTTATATATTATAAATAATTAATATTATTATTACATAATATTATAAAATAACATATTATATATAATATAACAATATAATATATAATTAAAAACAAGTGAATTTAATTTGCAAAAAGATGAACGAGACCTGAGAAATAATTATTCATAAAACATCATTCAATTCTTAAAATGAAAATGAATATCATTGCAAATAATTAGAAATAAGTGAATTTAATTTGTAAAAAGGTGAACGAGACCTGAGAAATAAATATTCATAAAACGTCATTCAATTCTTAAAATTAAACTGAATATCATTACAAATAATTTCGAACAAGTGAATTTAATTTGCAAAAAGCTGAACGAGACTCTTGAGAAAGCATCAATTTGATTTACAACGACGCGAAAAAAATCGGTATTTATATTAGCCTGCCCCTAGTTTGCACCCAGAAAATGAATTCGCTTCGCGAAAGGGCGTATCTCAGTCGAGAAAAGTAGAACGTGTCACGCGGGAAGAAGGGTGATTTCGTTGTGGAAAAATCGGTGTAAAAAAGAGTGAAAAAATGAAAAAATTGCAGGAGACTCGGAAGAGCGGACTGCGCCTGCGGAATTAGGAGTTCGCGGGGCCCTCCTCGAGGAGAAGGAGCTCCGCGCGGAACGGGGCGCGTGAACGTACCCCTGGGGCCGCCGTGGTGTTGTCCGCCGGGGGTGGCGGTGGCGGTGGGGGTGGAGGTGGGTGCAGACGCCGTGACTTGGAACGTCGTGGGGGTGGTGGTCGGGAGGCCCCCTGCCTCGCCACCATCAGTTCCTCTGTTGCCGGGAGTGCGGGGGGTTGTAGGCCTGTGGTGGGGCTCCCCTCCTATAAAAAGCGTCAAGGTATCTTCTTCAAGCGAAAAAAAAAGTGACGTAGAGCAGGCATTTTTTATTCGAACAATAATCCACGCGGCGCTCATCGTCGTGCAGCAACTGCCATCCAATTGCTGGCCGACCATCTAACTAACTAACTAACTAACTAACTAACTCAATTATTTACTTCGTTGTTATTCAAATCATGCGTTGGCCGGCTGCGATCATTTGAATATGCAAACGCAATTAATTTCGGCGAATATAATCGAGGATACCGAACATCCTGTTCATGGAAATTTCGAACGTTAAATCTGTTTCTAGTTCTATTGAAAATCACCATTGCTCCCGGTCGCCGAGCGTAGAACGCGGCGCAGTTCCATTCGTTCGTTTCTGCGTCAACGTTGATCAACTCCGATGAAAAAGAAAAAAGAAGGAAAAAATACGGTGGATTATTATTCGAATGGAAAGGTCCTCGCACGTTTTCAGACACGAAATTTAGAAAGCTCTGTCATCGATCATTGTTATCATAAAATTTCGCTCGAGCTTGTTTCGAATTCCCGCATGGTGCGTCGAAGTCTCGACGATCATGCTTCTCTCGAATCGTGAATTTGGTGAATAACGTAAGAAAATACCTTTCATGTATTTTTTCTAAACATAGTTCCGATCACGTTTTTTTTTTTTACGTATTCGAATGGTTTAATGATAAAGAGAGAAAGAGCTGGAGTAATTAGCTAATAACTGACCGAAATGCACACGAAGGAAACGAGCCACGTTACCGTTGCACTTATCTGTATATGGTGTTATTACACTATATGTATATGTATTATATATATATTATTATTATTATATTATATATATTATTATATATATTATATTATATATATATTATTATATATATTATATTATATATATATTATTATTATTATATTATATATATTATTATATATTATTATTGAAATACCATATATAGATAATACCATACATATGGTATTAATTATTATGGTATTATTGATAATACCATATATGGTATTATCTATATATGGTATTTTTCGATCGGAATAGATTCGACAGAATAGATTTTCCGGCCGCCACAATGTTGGCTGTATAGCATCGCGTCCGGCGATGCAAGCTGCACTTAGATAGGTTAATCCTATATATCTTATTCCATGTCATGGGATATCTGGGTCATCCTGGTCAATCTCTATATTACATCCATATCAGACATTTGTACCGAACACCGTTGATCGTAATTAACCCCGCCGAAGGGTGCAGAGACCCTAATAATTCCTTATTAGCCAATTTTGAATTATGGCATCGCACGAGGACGCGAATACCGTCGACGTTCTCGTGCAAATTAGAATATCCAATTTTAAGGTTAATTCTTCAGATATATCGCGATGAAAAATCTCGAGAAGGTAGTCGTTTAATGTTGCTTGTTGATATTAGAACTAACGAACCAGTCAGAATGATTATCTTTTTATTTCTTCTTCCACAGTTAATGAAATTATAGAAACGTCTCAATGAGAAATTGTTACAGTTTTTTACTGCAGCATATATTATATTAGAAATCGTACAAAGTCTGAATAAATCAAATTTAAGCAATGTTATAACAGAATATGCATTAGTCGTTAATGATTCACATGATGACATTAAACTCTATCGGCATGAATTCGTACAATGGAAACTGTTCGTCGAAAGGAGTGAATTTTTTTTCGATTTTATACGGTTCGACTTCATGCATTAATCATTTTTTAAGTGTGAGATCAATTTTGTAATATTCAAATTCGAAATACTGTCTTGAAAATATGTTTGACCTTAGATTGGAGCTCTTAAAATTAATGTCGCACTTAATCATTAATTTAATCATTTAATCATTAATTTAACTATTAATTTAACCATTTAATCATTAATTTATTCATTAATTTCACCAATTAATCACTAATTTAATCATTGATATAACCATTTCATCATTAATTTACTCATCAATGTTTCCAATTAATCATTAATTTAATCATTCATTCAACCATATAAGCATTAATATAATCATTCATTCAACCATATAAGCATTAATCTAATCGTTCCGTCGTTCATTTAATTACTCAATCATTCATTTAACCATTCGATCATTAAAGATCAGCGTACAATATTTCTGGCAACCAGCCCACGTTCTCCTAGGCAGACAAGAATAACAATAAGTTCCAAAGCATAAAAGATCCGCGAAGGATCATTAGTGGAGTGTCTGAAGGGAACACTCGGGAAAAATTGGAGTGGAGGAATCTCAAGGAAACTGCTGTTTCCAAGAATAATCACGAAACATCGATGTTTCGTTGCAGGCTCGCGATGGTCTTAAAAAGTGACTTGCCTTAACGAAATGAACGTAACCGTGATACTAGAACGGCATTAATATTATCAGAGCCGAACCACTAAAAATAGACGCGACAAGCTAAAAATATTGTACACGATTCTTATAAATTACAACGAACGACAACATTTAACCATAACATTCCGAATTTGCATTTTAGTTCGGAATATCGCCGTTTTTCATCGCCGCCGATCGTTCGGGTACATACAATTTCCTGCGCCCCGGCAAATTAGAAAATTGATTAACGCGACGTAACGGAACGTTCGGCCAATACTGTTCTGTCATCGTTACTCCTCAAAAACAGATATCAGCAACGCGAACGCTTAAATTCCTCGCGCAATTGCCGCTCATTTAATGTACAAACGAGGCTGCCCCATTACGATCAATCGGCTGCATAATTTATGCCCGGTAACTACCGCCGCGAATTATTCAGAGTTTATTACAAACCGGTCGCGTATTCATAGAGCTTTGTGTTCTGCCCGTTACGTATCTGGCATGAATTATGCGAACGTCCGAGCAGCCACGAATTTATCGGCAGTATCGGACACGCATCGTAAAACTACCGACGAAGGCAACGTTAAGCCCGCGCCGCGAACATTGAAAAACACGGTGCAACCTCGTTTTTCACGGCTAGTCGGGTGCATTTCGGTCAACAAGTGCCTACAATGATAATAGTATGCAGGGTGTTCCATAATTATGTTAACAGCCGGAAATGGGAGGTACTTGAGGTCATTTGAAGCAACTTTCTCCTTAGCGAAAATGCAGTTCGCGGTTTCGTTTACGAGTTATTGATGAAAAACGCTGACCAATGAGACGCGAGAGGCGAGGCTTAGCGCTAGGCGGCCGAGCCAATCAGCGGAACTGTGCTTCGACCGCTCGTTGACTCGGCCGTCATGCGCCAACCGAGAGCTCGCCTCTCATTGGTCACTGTTTTTCGTTAATAATTCGTTAACGATGCCTCGGAGACAATTTTTGTAAAGGAAAAAGTTGCTTCGAATGACCTCAGGAATCACTCCGTTCCGGGTGTTCACGTAATTATGGAACACCCTGTAGATAAAAGTGATGCTATATTTAACGTGGAACAACTATATATCTAGGTCACAATCCACCGACCCCTCGTTAAGAATCAAATTAGTTTGCGAAGAATAAAGTAGTTCTCGAAACTGTCCTATGTACACGCAGCAGAAAAAGTTTTGCATCGCTCGAGAATCGCCGCGCAGCGGTCTGGGTAGTCGCGTTCGAAAATTAAATTTTTCGAGTTTGATACAGCGAAATCAACTTTTTCTTTTTTTGATATACGATGGGATGACTTTAAAAAGAGTTCTCCGAATACAAAACGTTTTATGCACCGATCGCAAAATATCAGAAAATTCGCATACTCGAAAATTTCCCTAGAAATTTCCCAGTTCGAAATCGTATCCCGGGAAATTAGACTTTTGATCGTACGAGAGATAAAAACAGGCGCTCATCAAGCGGCAGAGACGACGCGCGCACAAATTATTCGAACCATATTTCCAGCGCGGCGCATATTTCAGCGATGCAAAATCCGCATTGCAAATACATAAATGTATGGATAAGCATAGAAAAAGAAATATATATATATATATATATACATATATATTAGGTCTACCGGAAAGTTCTGTCCGTTTTTGAATTGAAATATAACACAATTTTCATAGAATTAATAATATTTATTGTAAAATATATATTCCATCGTTACTTATGACTTCTTGCCAGCGCGATGGCAACTTGTAAATGCCATTTTTAAAAAATGATTTATTTTTAGAGGCGGAGAAGTCAACTAGTGCTCGGTCGACATCAGCTTCAGTTTTGAATTTTTTTCCTGTAAAAAGTTTTGCAAAGAGAGAAACAAGTGATAATCGGAGGGTGCTAGGTCTAGGGAGTATAGTGGATGCGACAGAATTTCCCAGCCTAGCTCTGCGATTTTCCGACGAGTCGCCGAAGCAGCATGTGGTCTGGCATTATCATCGGTAGCCATGTTTTCACGATCGCGTCTCGCTTAATAATGACATGAGACATCTTTGTTTCAGTTTATTTAGGAGAGTACATGCGTGTAAATGCAATGATAAAGAGAGATAGTCATATATGTCTCAAATCAACATGTGCATACGGATTGAAACTCGAAGTGACACTATCGGACAGAACTTTCCGGTAGACCTAATATATAAAAGTGTATATTTTCGGGCGTGTGACAAGACAGTCGACGTTCTGTCGCGTCGGATTTGCGAAATCGCGATGCGATATACGAACACTGAACCGACAGCGTTCTAATAGGATTCCCGTGTTCTGCACGAGATATTCAGCGGTTTCCATGCGGCCGGACCCGTTTTTCATTCTGCGATTTACCCAAAACACGAACGCCACCGTAGGCTCGCCGTTCAAATTCACTCTAATCAGGTCATCGCCGCGTTCGCGCGGCAATTCGATTCGCCGTCAGCGTCTCCCGTTCGAGATTCCCTCCCGCATAAGTGATCTTTACGACCGTTGTCGCGTGGGAGATGCGAACTGCGGCCGTCGTTCTTCGAGGCCGAGCTAATCGTGATAAATCGAGTACAAGCATTCTCGCTTCTGGGTCGTGTACGCGCCGCAGACGGTGAAAGTTACTTCGCTGCACGAAACTGAGACCGTCTCTTTGACAAATTAGGGGAATTTGTAAATGCAACACCCGGCGGGAAGTATTCGTTCGCCTTTTAAAATGCAATATGTTTTTTTCAAACTGGTGTAATCGACTTGAATCTTTCTTTAAGTGTTAAAGGGACTAGTTTATGGTACTATGACTAGCATAGGTTTTTTTAAATTCTGCTATTACGTGCAATTACAACAGAAAAGTGTTAAAGGGACTAGTTCATGGTACTATGACTAGCATAGATTTTTTTACATTCTGCTATTACGTGCAATTACAACAGAAAATAAAAAATTCTCGTTCTTTTTAACTTTTCTATTTGAACCTGGATCGAAGATTTAAAAAATGCATTTCGTAGTCCTAGGTAAATTATATGCACACTGAAATTTTTAGCGAAATTGGTTATTTGGCAAATGGTTAATTGGTTAATTTGTTATTGGTAAAAATGTATAAATCGACCTACGTTCATTCGTCTTTGGATTACATAAGATTTGAAAAATACAATCTTTTTTAATCTGTGTCATTTTTAAGTGGATATAATTCTTTTATATAGTTCCACTTTAATAGATATAATTTATTTACCGCTGACAGTGAACGAATAACAAGTTGATTATGTTTGGAAGTGCATCGAAGCTTTTGGGTAAATCGCAGTTCTCCAGATAGAGGGTAAACGACGTAGTTCGATCACTTTAAATGTTTCATTTTTTCGTAACAAAAAGGGATGTTAAAGGAAAATATCCTTCGATTCTCAGAAGAGAATATTACGGTGAACAAATTATTGTTAACACTGGAACTACCGAGCACTGAAAGTGATTGTAGTTTATCTTGCCTTCTAAGAGCACTGAGATTGCATTTGTGAGTTCATTGCTCGATTTTTGTAACCAAATATACTTGAATAAATAGATGTATCCAGTAATTACTGGCGGAAACGTTTCGGCAATCTCAATCGCTGCAAAATAAAAAGTTTGAAAATTGCAGTGCGAAGGTAACTCTTTCGAGATTCACATCTTTAAATAGCACTATGGGGTGTCCCATAATTATGTTAACATCCGGAAAGGGGATAATTATAGGACACTCTGTAGATTGGTCTTGACCTAAGCTACTATGCCACTTCGATGAATATATGCACTTTCATTTGAAAAAACATCGGCAACCTTGGAATCTCCAAAAATACGACTTTCAGAAAAGTGGTTCGTTTATCATAATCCTTGGCTTCGACCCAACATCTTCCCACCATCGCAAACAAGTGAAACATTTGAAGTGGTCGACTGAGATTACTTCTGAAAATTAAACCTCCGTAGCTCCGATTGTTTGAAGCCTGATCAAGAAGTGCATAACACGTGAGAATACTAAACAGTTCGTAAAATGATTAGAGTTCGAGAAATTGGATTAACGAAAAGCTTAAAAAATAAATAGAAACACATCGAAAAGTAGAAAATGGAAAGTTTGGAAAATCGAAAAATTCCAACGCATAAATCATTCGGCTACGAGAAAATTGCGTTCGATGAGTAGACTGTGGATTTTTATGCAAAATAAACGTCACCCTCGTTATTTACAAGATGCAAAAGCCACTTAGACTTTCGTTTCATTCATAAATAAATGGAACGATTTGACAGTGATGCTTTGCATTTGCTTTTGTTCATTTTTCTTATAAATGCATAAAATCCGCGGTCTGATAACGAGCGTCAACAAATGTTGATTGCGCATGCGCGACTAGAAAGTTACACGCCATTGAACAGGATGTCCCAAAAATGTCTCGTAATCCGGAAATGTGGGACTTCTGAGGTCAATCGAAGCAACTTTCTCCTTTACAAAAATTGTCTCCGAGGCATCGTTAACGAGTTATCAACGAAAAACACTGGCCAATGAGAGACGACCTAGCCCGCGAAGGCGGACCAGCCAACGAGCGCGCGAAGCTCGGTTCCGCTGACTGGCTCGGCCGCCTCTCGCCTCTCATTGGTCACTGTTTTTCCTTAATAACTCGTAAACGAAGCCTCGGATCGCATTTTCGCTAAGGAAAAAGTTACTTCATATGACCTCAGGATTCTCCCTTTTCTGTATTACGAGGCTATATTATAGCCTATTTTATATTATATTCTATATTATAGCCTATTTTATATTATATTCTATATTATAGCCTATTTTATATTATATTCTATATTATATTCTTTTTTATATTATATCCTATATTACTAATTTCTGGATTGCGAGACATCCCCTCATTGCTGTATCGCGAGACATTTTCGGGACACCCTGTAGAGGGTTGAGGTAATTAGGAGTATGCGCTGGTTTGAGCGTAATCCGGCACGAAATTGTGAAGGTAGCGGGACCGCCTGGGCTCGCGGTAGCCGGGGCCATGGCAGAGGTCGCGGGGGCGGCGTGAACCTACTTGGTTCAGGCGTCGCCCCCGCGAATTACGCTCCAGGACTGCAGGGCGTAGCGCCTGAACTACGAGAGGTCGTGAATATCCTCGGCGAGAGGAACCAAGTCGGTACGCTGACGGGGGTGGGGCCGCCGCCGGGTGCGCTGGACAACGACATAGAGGGGGACGAAGAGGAGGGCACCACGACGAAGAGGCCGCCGAGGCCGCTCTACAGGAGGCTAATCAACTACGTGCGGCAGGCTTGGACCGGTGTGAAATTCGCTTTAGGTATTGTACCTGTTGGTCGTCGTAAGTGCGGGGTGCACTCGGAGTCGTAAAACGGATCAGGGAGAGCCACCACCTCGCAAAAACTCACCAGGGGCATCGGCCAACTCGATTTTTACTCCCTTGCTGTACTCCATTGTCTTCGTAGTTTGCAACGATTAGACTTTTTTTCCCCGATTGCAATCGTTATGCTGCAGATTCTCGATGCGTTTGTCACGAAAACGAATAACAAAAACGTGGTGTACAATTTGAAAATATTATTGTGACAATTAGAATCATGTAAACGCGTTAGAATGATTGAAAAAAGGATACAAACGTGGAATGTTTATCAAAAGTGTGTAGTTTTTCGCATCTTGCTATTAATGAAGACAATCCTTATTTACTTAATCTTTTCTTTAAAAAAGAAAAATGATTGGAAACTAAATATTACTTCGATATCGAATTTACTATTTACAACGATTAACGAAAAAAAGTATACGAGCTTCCTTAGCGTCGCATTAAAAACTTAATTTCAATTTTGATTCAATTTAATGTCTTCTCTTATCTGAACGAATTATCGAGCCGTTTCGTATAATAGGTTTCCCGTGTCGCGGAAAGTTTCATTGGAACGCAATTACGATCTGCATAAACGCCCCTTGTCAGTGAAATCGGAACAGCGGTTGACATGATCCTTGAAAGGGACCGCAAAATATGGAAGCAACCAAGGCCGATTTAAACTTTGCATTGTGGGAGCCACGCGCGTCTCGTGTCGATTCGGTGCGCTAACTTTATTATCGAGTTGCTGGGTCGAAGGGCCGGGTCGGAGTACCTGTTTTATGCAAACTAATCTGATTCCGAGTGCACCCTGACGTTGTTGTTGTAGGGAACTACATAACGAAGACATTTGATCAATTTAGAAGTAGATCAATTAGAAGAATTAGTGTGCGCTTCGAATAGAGTTGATATTTGTACGAATCGAATGCAAGATACGCGTATACATATTATAATCCGTGAATATTCCATTATCTGCAATCACGACTGATATCACGAGGATTCCGAAGCTCAACGTAGAACCCTTTTACCTAATTACCCGTATTTAGCGTAGAAACCATCGTTATGTGAAACTCTACTTTGGCATGATTCATCGTTATAGATCGCTCCGAATTAACAAGTTTACGGATTACAGTGATGTCTCTCCAATTGACGCCCAGATTGACCACGAAAATGGACAATTTGGGAAGAGGAGACGCGATTATTCGAGTCTTGCGGTTTATTTTTATAATTATAAATTGTCCATAATTATAAAAATGAGTCGCGAGGCTCGAATAATCGTATCTCGTATTCGAACCTTGCGGTTTATTTTTATAGTTATAAATTGTCCACAATTATAAAAATGAGCCGCGAGGCTTGAATAATCGTATCTCCTATTCCCAAATTGTCCATTTTAGTGGACAATCCGAGCGTCAGTAAGGGAGACATTACTGTACAATTGATCTCGTTGCATGGAAATTAAGTTGTGCATGCGTGTATATCCGAAAAGAATGTTTCTTTGGTGAATGTGGTTAAATGTCAAATGTTGCTGATAATAATATCAGTCAGCATTTGCATAAAATGCGAAGAATGCTCCCGAATCGAATGATGTTAAACATGTTATAAATAGACTGAGAATAAAGAAAACAAAACGTAAGGACATCGGAAGAATTTGAACATACTGCTACATTGTTACTGCAACCTATTAAACGTTTTTTTATAAAACAAGTCAATTTTCATGTTGCTTCGGTTTACTGCAATTGAAGCAAACAATTTTTATTTGGCTAACATTATATATATAATATTATATATATATAATATAATATAATATAATATAATATAATATAATATAATATAATATAATATAATATA